AGTCATCAATCTGTGGGTGAAATTACTGGAATTGTTTACGTTTTGCGATAAAATTTTACTTTTTATTGACTAAATTATTGAAACTGTCAGCCGTTTCGGTTAAACGATGTTTCGGTTAAAAAGGTTTTGGTTAAGGGAGGTTTTACTGTATTTAATATAGCTTTAAAAACGTGTTTTTGAAAAAAAAAAATTGTTTACATAAAATAATTTGTTTTTTATCGACGCAAATGCTGATAGCAAATTTTTCGGTTCATTAAATTTTTATTTTCCTATAAGTTGGTATTATTTTGTATTGTTCAACTTTTTATAATAAATATGCTCTTTTTAAATGTATTTTTAACTGTCAACAACTCTAACATAACATTTAGAACCCAAATTGTCAGTTTGACAACATGGAGTCCCAGTTATTCTACCACGTCTTCTTCTTCCTATGCCGTCCCCATTAAATGAGGTTGGCGACCACATTTTTAAAAGCTTCTCTGTCTTTTGCAACGTGGAATAATTCGTCTACAGTCATGTTTGTCCAGTCTCGAATATTTCGCAGCCATGACTTCCTTTTTCTACCTATTCCCTTTTTGCCATCGACTCCACCCTGCATGATGACCTGCAGAAGACTATATTTATTATTTCTTAGTATGTGTCCAAGGTATGCAGTCTTGCGTACTTTTATCGTTCTCAACAATTTTTTGACTCGACCCATTCTTCTCAGCACTTCCTCATTGGTGACCCTGGCAGTCCATGGGATTCTCAACATTCTCCGGTATATCCAAAGTTCAAAGGCTTCAATCTTTTTAACTATTTGCGCTTTTAGTGTCCATGTTTCTACCCCGTACAATAATTGCGACCAGACGTAACATTCAACAAACCTCAGTCTCAGCGCAATATTCAGATTTTTGTCACAGAACAATTGTTTGAATTTTAAGAATGCTGCCCTTGCCATTTCTATTCGTATCTGGATCTCTTGGTCTGGATCTAATTCTGTGTTGATGTAAGCTCCCAGATATTTATATTTTGTCACTCTCTCTATTTGCTGTCCACCAAGAGTTAGTTGTTCATTATTTATTGGACTCCTTGATACTATCATAAATTTGGTCTTATCTGTGTTGATGTCAAGTCCCATTTGAATGCATTCACTATTTATTGCATCTAGTAAAGTTTGTAGATCTTCTATACTCTCAGCCATAATTACCGTGTCATCTGCAAATCTCATGGTGTTTATGATTTCTCCACCAATTCTTATTCCCTCTTTTCTTTCCCATAAGGCTTTTCTGAATATGACCTGTGAGTACACGTCGAAAAGCGTCGGAGACAAGACGCATCCTTGCCTAACCCCTCTCGCAATCGGTATAATATCTACCACGTCGTTTGTGTAAAATTAATTCACCACGTTATACAATGAATTTTTGACTAATTCATTCTCAGCGTTTAGTTGAAATGGAAAATGTGGTAGACCCCTAGCTGGATAGCTCCCAGAATGTAGACGATTCCATGTGGGAGCCCGTGAAAGATGGAACAGGCTGCTTCACCTTTCGTTGCCTTACTTCACCTAAAGTTGCAGGTAATTTATACAGAGAGTAAGTAGCGATATTTGGATTGCAAGGATTGGGATAATACATTACTTAAAGAGGCTACAAAGCATTAAGCCAGGATCTCATCCTTAATCATTAACCACTATTTTAGAGAGAAGCAACAAAGGCCGATCGACTCGACATTTCGCATCGAGAAATCCTTTATGTAGTGGTTGAAATATCCTGTATTTTCTGATCTGTTGTTGATATCGTCTTCTATGCTAATTCATCAGTAAACATATTTTATTAGCGAAAGTTGTGTTTGTCAGATATTTCTGAGGTTTTTGAACAGCATATTTTAAATAATTCCCAACATCGTGTTGCAAATTAGGAACCGTGTTCGGTAATATTTCTTCCAAAATGTTCGGTGTAATTTGTTTGATGTGCCCATGCCGAATGTAACGAGATAAACGTGTCGATCTTTCGCATACAAAATAAGCCACAAAGTAACAACAAGGTCAATCAATTTGCTAATGTATTTGATTTATTGCGCTTTAAAGTCGGAAGCGAATGTAAACTCATCAATTTTGATATGCGTATCGAGTGCTTGTGTTTATTTTAAAGCCGACGACGAAGGTATTTTGATAGCCTAACAAACATCGGTTTCTCCTATTTGTTTTGCTATACGATATCTGTATATTTTTCAAAAACAAATACCTACCAGATACTTAGTGTTAATTTGAACATACATTTTAACTATCGATACACTTCTCTTTGTGTCTTGTGATTGGTCGCACGTTGACAGTTGTCTGTACGGTTCTTTTTTACGTCTGAGATATTGAAATTGTGAAACAGAAGTGTTGTTTTCTTCTTGGGCCTCGGCAACCCTTTACATTTCCTTGCAAAATTTACTACATTGTAATGGAAATTATTTAGTTATTGCGAAACAAAACAGAATGGAAAAAGAGTATAGGTACAAACACAACAAATAATCCAACACTCTAGCAGGTAAAAGGAGTTTAGAGAAGAAGAGAAGTTTCTATTGTCTTAATCCTTTTCTGCTTCTTATTGTTAGATATGTTCGCTTTATGGTAATATTGTTTATTGTTACCAGTGTTTTATTTTTCGCAAAAATAGGAGCTAAGTATTACATTTCAAATTTTAATATTCTAACACGTTTCTCTTTCCTTATCGTGCTAATCCCGCTATTTGTACGAGAGATGAAATATTCCCAAAGCAAAAAAGTGATTTGACTGCTTGTGCTCATAAAGTTGGATAAGCTGGTAGCTCTAGGATGTGAAAGCTTTCAAATTTACCACTGATTTAACTCACTACGTAGCTGCCGGGTATATTTTCATCTAGCATTAATCTTAGATACAACAACTTTATATTTAATACCTTCTTAATATGTGTTGCAGATGTATTGGAATTTACAATACTTTCCAAACAGTACTTTTGATTTATCTGGGCATGTAAACGTAAAGTATTATCAAAAAAATTATTTTTTTTACTTTTTTTATTTTGGAAAAAATTGTTTTCCAAAATTTCTTTAAAGATCTGGTCCTCTCTAGTTTCTAAAATTGTTCAAATTTAAGTTTTATAAAATACAGACGTGATATAGATTACGTAAGTACAGTGGCGGTTCCTTCATAAGTGCACATGTGAACGTGCACTCCAATTATTTTCATACAAACATTTATATAAATATTTAAAATTTATTATTCTATAAATAATATTTTTAATCAACTAATTAACCGTAACTCAAATGAGAAATTACAGATCCAAGCAGCTTAGAAGTAATAGGTAATATTTAGTTCTTTTTATTCTATTTAGACACGCGGAAACTTCACGGGTTCGAGACATGAGACAGAATCTCCAGAGCACTGCTCAGCTAAAAATTAATTTTTATTTGTCCAATACCAACGACCGCACTTCCCACTTCCCCGCGATAGCCATGCGCTGTAGCTGGCCTGGTGTGCACAAATGGATTGTGATCAGTGATCCTCATAAATCCTATTCTATTGTCATACTCGTTACCGTTTTCCGTGTTTGCTATTTGGAGATGAGGAATCAGAATGGACAAAATATGGCATTAAAGACTTAGTTCATTTATCCGAAAAAATTAAAAAGCATCAACATTCAAAGTCACACATATCTGCTAAATTAGGTTTCAATTTATTAGGTAAACAAGATATTCGGCAACAACTAAATAGTGCATACCGATTAAATATTGCAAAACATAATGAACAAATAAAAAATAATAGGTACGTCTTATCAAAAATTATAAACTGTGTCAAATTTTGTGGTGCTTTTGAACTTGCTCTCCGCGGCCATGATAAAAGAAAGGATTTAATAAACCCTGGTATATTTAGAGGTCTCATAAATTTTTCCGCCGAATTGGATTTAGCTCTCAAAGACCATTTGCAGCAAGCTACTGTATTTAAAGGAACGTCAAAAGACATTCAAAATGATTTACTCGATTGTATGCTTTCAGTGTATCAGGCACATATCAAAAAAGAAATTGCTGCTTCAAAATTTGTTTCCATTGTGAGTGATGAAACGAGTGACATTTCAAATGTTTTTCAAATGGTTATAGTTTATCGTTACACTTTACAAAACGGGACCTCTGTTGAAAGATTTTGGACTTTTTAAAACCAAATAACCACGATGCTGTTTCCTTAGCTGGCTGCATAGAAGAATGTTTCAAGTTGTGTTTTATCAAGTTCCGATAAGTTAATTTCTCAAAGCTATGACGGAGCATGTGTTAGGTGTGGCGTTCATGGGGGTGTGGCATTCAGGATAAATTTAAATATGCCAATTATATACATTGTTATGCGCATATTTTTTGCTGATTTGACCGACAATACTAATTTTTTTTTCAAATTCACCTCAGAGAGTTGCCATATTAGATGAAGTTGTGGGAAATAGGGTTCCGTCAGCATCTGCTACAAGATGGAATTTTAAAATTAGAACGGTGAACATGGTGTATGAAAATAGAGAAGCCCTAATAGAGTGCATGGAAAGAATACAATCCACATCCAGGCAATCTGGTACCATAACAAAAGCAGGTGCACTTTTAAGGTTATTGAATGATAATAAATTTGTATTTTGGTTGAAAGTTTTTCATCGTGTTATGCCCCACGTTGACATACTATATTCACAAATACAAAAAACTATACTTAAAAAAACTAATACGTAATCGTAAAACGATGCCTGACTACATTTGAAGAAAATATACAAAAAGAAAGAGACAATATTCACACTATAAGAGAAACCGAGTTAACAGACATTGACGATAGTCAATCCAGGAAGAGACGGAAGAAAGATGACAGAAATTCTTATGTCTCCACAATTATTCAAGCTAGGGAAGTTTGCGATACTATACTATCTGAAATTAAAAGAAGGTTTTTGTTTACAGGACATTTGGAAATAGCAAAATTATTTTCAGTGGACAATTTTGAAATATACAGCTCAAATTTTTCTACATTGACAATGGAATCAGCAATTAACAATTATCCCGTTTTAAATAAATACAAATTAAGGACTGAATTGGAAATTGTTTATAGAAGATCCGATTTTAAAGAACTTTCTGGAGCAGTTCACTTACTTAAATTTTTTATTGAAAATAATTTGCAAGAAGATTTTTCTGAAATTAATTTAATTCTTCAAGTACTTGTTACGATGCCAATGACAACAGCAGAAGCAGAACGATGTTTCTCTACATTGAAACGTATCAAAACTTTAGTTAGAAGTACTATGGGCAAGCATCGACTAACTGCACTAGCCATGTTATCAATTGAAAAATAAAAATGATTCAAGAAATTCCAAATTTTAATGAATTGGTTATTGAAGCATTTATCTCAAAAAAAGACAGGCGACTTGATTTTCAATACAAAACTTGCTTGTAACATTTAAAAACTAAATTATAATTTTAAGTTTAATAAAACACATTATTTATTGTAGTTTCTTAATAAGATCCTTTCATTTTTACAATTTGACGACACTTAAAAAACTTTTGCTTACTGAAATAGGGCTGAAGCGGAGGCCTATGGTGTTATCTATTTTTATATGGTATATATAATATGTGTGCACCCCCAATACTTTACACCAGGCGCCGCCACTGCGTAAGTAGTATGTAAAAGATAGCTGGTAGCAGTGGATGATAGCGCTCTCTTTAGATTCTTTTAAGCGAGTAAATTTCCCACTTTTTTGTTAATTTAAGTTCATTAATAAATAGGGCATTTTCTGATAATTCGAGTTTGGTGAGAGTTAACGCTGAAATTCCTGAAGAAGGGAGCATTTTTTCTGTATTTGGCTCACGTTTACGCTTGGTATATTTTGTACACCGCCCGGTTCTATTATATTATTATTGAAAATTTCGAGACCTTTCTTTTCTTATTTATCTGCAACTGGTAGGAAATATTCTGGACACTAATAAAATTAAAGGTTAGATAGTAGTCAGATTTAGCAATTTCCAACTTAACGAATATCACAGCGTTTTATGCGAGTGGCGTTCAAAATCCATCAACGCGTTTAATTTTATGAACGTGTTCCTTTTAAACTGCATCTCTTTGTCACTGCACGATACTGCTTTATTAACACTTTTTTTTCTTATATCCAATAGTACAAATCATATTAAATTGACATACCAATTTTTCTAAAATAATTACTTTAAAATGCATCTCTGTATCTAACCCGAGCACTTAAATCTATTATCAACCCTGTACGCAGTATAAACAAGGGTTGCTGTTGTCGGTCATCTCTGAATGTACAAAATTAATCTTATGTGAGTGTAGGAGAAAAACTCGACTTGATGGTGGGGATGCGAAAGAGTGTCATAAAAAGATGGATGAATGCGCTCGGACGCATAAAGAGGGATCAACAATGAGGATGATGCAGGGGTACAAGTGTTTCGTCACGTACATCCTATGAAGCGTACAGGGTGGTTTATTATAATTAAGAATTGGATCGAAGATTATTAAGAATTTTTGTTATTAATTAAAATATTTTTAGATTCTGTAAACTATACAATTTTGAGTTGCTAAAGGGTTTAGCATATTTATGTTTATGCTTTTAACTCATTCACTCCCTTTAATTATCTCGAATTACCCATATTTTTATTTTCTCTGTGTGAAAACATATATACCTATCAGCCCCATACTCAAAAAGTCAAAATTTTAAAATGATCCCCCAAATTATACTCTCTTATAAAAAATAGGTATTTGAGTTTTAGTATATTATATCTGTTTTTATTGTACTATGTTCCGAACTATATCAGAGGTAAGTTTAGTCCCCTCTTGAACATAATACTTTTTGTTAATTGGTATTTTTAGATTTTTGGTGGTTGAAAAAGACTGCATATATCTAGGTATAGTTTGACCCTTGCAGGTTCCCCTTCAAGCTTCTATATTGGATTATTCAATACAAAAGCCCTTCACAGACATGTTCTGCCTTGTCGTCCACTCCACGTCTTCTTTAGCAATCTTTTTTGAACTTAAATAATGATAAGATAGATAATTTGAAATAAATTGATAAGAGCAATGGACAAGCTGAAAATACCGAGAAAACTAATAAACCTAGTAAAAACCATAATAAGGAATGAGGCTAAAATAATGGGATTCCCCTGTCTACTCTTCAATATAATACTGGTATGGTTGATAAGGTAAAGTCTTCTAAATTGAACAGGAACCATAAAAACAAAGAGTTATAAAATTTTACCCTACAATATAATACAGAACAAATGAAGCAGAAGCAAAAGCTGGAAATAAAAAAGCAGGAGTATTACATTATAGAACAAAATATTTGCATGAAAAAACGTCTTAAGATAATCATAAATACATATCGAAAGTCTTACTATCTATCTAATTAGCCTTCTTCGGTCCATCTTTGGACTTAGGCCTCCCCAATCCTTTTCCATTCTTCTCTGTCTGTCGCTACAGTCATCCACCTAGAGTCCACGTGCTTCTTGATATCATCTGCCCATCTCATTTGTTGCCTTCCTCTGCTTCGTTTATATTCCCACGGTCTCCAACTTATAAGAATTTTGTTCCATCGAAAGTATCAAAGCGAAAAAGAAAAAGTGTTAAAGAAGATGATGTTAACAAAAGAAAACCCAACAGTGGAGTAATGTTTTTATACCATAGACCTGGTATAGCTAAAGTAACCAAAGCAGCGAAATTATAATGGCTAGGAAATTTATAAAATCGAATGAAAAGGATACTTCGAGAATGGCTAAATGAGGTGGAGAATATTTTAAAACTGCAAGAAGTTTAACACCAGTTAATGAAGGCCAAAGACCGAAGAAAATTGTCACAACAACAACTAGGTCTACAGCATATTATATCTAAATTAAGAATCTCAGTTATTCCTGGACATTGATCGCTATTTCCGCGTCTCTGTCAAATGGGCGTTTGAATTCCGTGGACACCGACCACACGACAAATAATTCAATTTTAAATGAGATAAAGGTCAGGAAAAAGCTCTAAAGCAAGGTCGATCCCAACAATTAAAATACTTTGGACATGTTATGAGTATGAGAGCAGACACAGAAAACATGGAAAGACTTATTAACCAAGAAAAGGCAGAAGACCGAAAATAACGAGGAAAATCCCTGGGTGGGTCAGGCCTGAAGAAAGAGAGAGAGAAAGAGAGAGAGAGAGAGAGAGAGAGAGAGAGAGAGAGAAAAAGGAGGAAAGAGAGAGAGAGAAGGAGGGAGAGAGAGAGAGAAAAAAGAGAAAGAGAGAGAGAGAGAGCAAGAGAGTCAAAATAGGTAAAGACACACAGTAACATACAAACTAACGATTGAAATCAATAATACGGAATAGAAAAATCTAAGGATTTTTCAAAATCTGTCTTTTTCTTATCATATACTTGTGTGTAATACAAACTTTTTTAATCTATATTTTTATATAATGATACCTCCTACAGTTTGTCATAATTGTTTAGTCATCTTTTTTTAAAAAGGGAAAAAGAAAAAAAAAATTGTGTTGTTGGCCACTTTTTAGATATTTGGGTTCCATATCGACTTAATTTGTTTTTTTTATTTTTGGGCTAAAATGAGTTTTCCTTTTAAATCATTTTCAATTTAACTAATAAACTATTAAAATGATTATTGATGTGTTTACCTTGAAATCATTTTTGCTTCGTTTGAAGGTCTCTGTAAATTTCTTTTTATATAATTTTTAACTTAAATGAGTGTTCGGTATGTTTTATATCGAGATAAAAACTAAAATATCACAAAGAAAACTAACTATACAAAATAGAGAATTTCCTCTACGTCAGAGCAAACGCAATCTATCGCAGAGGAAACGTCTGATGCGCTTCTACTTTTACATTGGTGTAATGTTTATTTTTGCATCTTGTTATGTTTTGCTCCTTTGGAGCAAATGATTACATTAATTAAAGATGGAAGATGTCAACGAGTGCGTGATTTAGTTCTTATCCAACATATGCACAATTATTTTTATTTTCAATAATAATTGTTGTTTTAGAATTTAATAAAAAATAATCAGTTTGTTTTAGAATATTTTTAACTTTGTTCTATTAATTCTGATTTTGAGATGTAAATAAAAAAAATTGTTGGAACGTGAGGGCATAAAGCAAAGGCCCAGAGAAGAAAAGTTTGAAGAATGTAAAAAATTACATTTTTTCAACTATTACGTGAAGCGGGCTGTGAAAACAAAAATATAAATAAATGAAAGGAACTGAAAAAGAAAATAGAAGATATAGTGCAATTGGTCTGAAATGCTGATTTATATTTACATAAAGATATTTGGAATATTTTCTCGAATAGTTCTCGAGTATGTTAACAACCCACAGCGACCCTATAAGTTCGTATTTTGATGGATATTACCCTTCTTGGGCATACCAATCATGCAGACAATAATAAGGCTAATTAATAATCTAGAACAATTCGGAGAGAAAAAACCAAAGGGTGGTCAACAAGTAGATGAACTGAAGTTCGAAAAACTATTAGAAATATATTAAATTTGGAAGTTCACTATGAGCAACACAGGAAAGAAAAAACCACTATTACATGTCTTAAGAATAAAAGAATACTACCCATTCACTTAACTGAATGAAAGGCAATAGGCTGCAGTACGATAGATTTATAAGATTGTTTCCCCGAAAAAAATGTCCAAAACGCCTTTGGTTAAGTTTGGCATACAGACCTGATCGAAAAGCTCCACCTTACTCTCTTCGTAAAAATAATATATTCTTATCTTTTCAATCGGACAATCTGTGTTAAAGTCGCTAACACGCTATCAGCACCATTTACTCTACAAACTGCAGTCCCGCAGGGCTCAATTCTAGCACCAATGTTATACTCAATCTATAACAGTGACATCATCTAACCTTTAACTAAGATCAGATTCCATACTATTATTGCTGACGTGATTGCACTGCTCTCTGTAGGAACATAAAATGGGACGCTGAGACATGATTTGTTTTGGAACGAGCACAAAACCAGTTGAACACAACTTTCAGGTGATGCAATAAATGGAGTCACACCCAATCCTTCCAAAACGCAACTAATTTTATTCAAATTCCCTGACAGCCGCGATGCTGGGAGGACCCAGATACCCCTCCAACGAGAAAATCTCGATTTCCGAAATTTGGTTGCGAGTTTATCTATTAGGACTCTCAACTGGAATATTGATGTAAAAACACCCTAGACAGGGAAAGAAAACGAGCTAAACTCCTACGCGCGCTGACTGGAAAACTCGGAAATACCTCAAATAAAACTCTGTTCTACACCTACAAGACTTTCATCAGACCCATCATCGAATACAATGCGCGTGTCTACG